CTAGGCTTTGGTGGAGTTAGGGTTTGAAGTTGCCGTTGAAGATCTCGCTTTCCTCGTGTGGTTAGGAGTTCTATTTGGAATTCAATCTAGGGTTCAGTTGGGTAACTTCTAAATTCTATAAAGTTTGAATCTTTCTTTGCAATTTGGAGTTTGTGATTATGGGTGAAGAAGTTGGTGAAAGCGGCAAGATGACGGGTACAGTTCAAGTGAGTTTTCAGAACACTAAGATTAGTGTAGTGAAATATGACGGCAAAATCAATTTTGGTTTGTGGATGAGCGACGTACAGGATGCGCTCAATGCTCAAAATTTGAAGGAGACCATCATGGTCGATGTGAGGCCACCTAAATATGAAAAGGCGGTATGGGAAAAGATGAATATGAACACTTGTGGGGTGATCAGGTCCTGTTTGGAACAGGAGCTGAAATATGATGTGATTGGGGTGACATCTGCGATGAAAATGTGAGAAATTCTTAACAATAAGTATCTTACGAAAATTGTTGAGAACAGGTTGCATTTGCTGCGTAGGTTATTCAGATTCCAGATGTCCCGAGGCACCTTGCTTGCGGCTCATGTAAACAACTACACTAAGTTGTTGTCAGACTTGGCGAACGTGGATGAAAAGATCATGGATGAGTACAAGGCTATTATTCTTTTGGGCTCCTTACCGAATGAGGAGTATGATACCTTCGTGCTTACTTTGCTGAACTGGAGGTCTTCTATCATTTATAGTGAAGTGACTAACGCATTGACGAACTACGATTTGAGGAGGAAGGATAAGGAGACTTCCCGTGCTAGTACTTCAGGAAAGGCCTTGTCGACGAGAGGTAGAAGCCCATATCCGAAAAGTGGTAATCGAGGAAGGTCAAAGTCAAGAGGTCTTCACCAATTAGCAAAGAACCAATGTGCATTCTGCAAGGAGCAAGGACATTGGAAAAGAGACTGCCCGAAGCTCAAGGAGAAGGAGAATGGTAAGAAAAATGGCCCGAAGGCCAATGAGGTGAACGTTGCGAAAGGCGATGATTCCGATGATTCATGCTTTTCTCTATTGATTACTCCGGAGGTGAACCATGTGGATGCATCGGATTGGATGCTTGATTCTGGCGCTACTTATCATGTGACTCCTAGGCGAGATTGATTTTCATCATTTGAGAGACTCGACGGGGGTGTTGTTGTCATGGGAAATGATCAATCCTGTGGCATTTGTGGGATAGGTACTGTGAGGATTCGGATGCACGATGGAGTAGTCCGTAAGTTGAAGGAGGTGAGATTTGTTCCTCAGCTGAAGAAGAATCTTATCTCAGTTGGAGCTTTAGAGGCTAAGGGATTCAGGGTGACCTTTGAGAACGCTGTAGCGAAGGTTACTAAGGGATCTTTGGTGGTGATGAAGGGAGTCCGCAATCGTAATTTATACTATCTGAAGGGGAGCACCGAGATTGGCCAGGTTGCTTCGACTATTTCAGAGGCGGACATGAGCAGACTTTGGCATTACAGGCTAAGGCACACAGGTGAAAAGTCACAGCAGGCATTGTGCAAGCATGGGCTATTGAAGGGAGCCAAGAGTGGAAATGTTGAGTTCTGTGAGCATTGTGTTCTTGAAAAGAAGACAAAGGTAAAGTTCGGGATGGCCATTCATAGGACGAGGGGCATCTTGGACTACGTGCACACAGATGTTTGGGGTCCCACCAAGACGCATCACTTGGTGGTCGACATTGGTTCGTCACGTTTGTTGATGACTATTCTAGGCGTTGTTGGGTGTACACCATAACGAAGAAGAGTGAAGTCCTAGATATATTTGTGGAGTGGAAGAAGAGATTAGAACTGCAGACTGGGAGAAAGATCAAGACGTTGCGATCCGACAACGGCGGCGAGTATACTTCAGACCCCTTTCAGCAGCTATGTCGAGACGAGGGCATAGAGAGGCACTTCACAGTTAGTCATACACCGCAGCAGAATGGGGTGACGGAGAGGTTAAATCGATCTTTGCTGGAGAAAATTCGATGTTTATTGGCGCATAGTGGTTTGGAGAAGATCTTTTGGGCTGAGGCACTTTCTTATGCGAGCCACCTCATTAATAGGCTGCCTTCATCTGCGATTGAGGGGAAGACCCCTATGGAGATGTGGTCGGGAGAGACAGCACATGACTATGACCAGCTTAAGGTATTTGGTTGCCCTGCATATTATCATGTTAAAACTGATAAGTTGGAACCTCGAGCTAGGAAGGCCATATTTGTAGGATTCAAGCATGGTATCAAGGGATACAAGCTTTAGGATCCAGTTGATAAGAAGATTGTGCTGAGTAGGGACGTCACATTCGATGAGGCTTCTATCTTGAAGCTTCCCAGCTCTCATCAGGTGGAGAGCGACCCGACGGAGGAGATATCGCAGGTGGTGGAGATCGATGCAGCTCTACATCGTCCAGATGGTACAGTATCCATGCAGGTGCCGACTAAGGTGACGTCAGGCGAGCACGACGATGACACGGAGGATACGGGTACTAATATACAGGATCAGGGACCAACAGCTCAGGTTCAGGATTCGATTGCGGTTCGGAGACAGAGGAGAAACATGCAGATGCCAACACGGTATGCCGACTACATTCAGAGAGGCCGAGCAGAGTTCGGAGGCTGATTCGTGGCAGGTGGCTATGCAGGAGGAGATGGAATCTCTTCATAAGAACGATACATGGGAGCTTGTTGAGCTTCCAAAGGGGCGGAAGGCAATTGGTTGTAAGTGGGTATACACGAAGAAGGAGGGCATTGAAGGTACTCCATTGAGGTTCAAAGGTAGGTTGGTTGCGAAGGGCTATGCACAGGAGGAAGGAATAGATTATAATGAGGTTTTCTCTCCGGTGGTGAAGCACTCTTCGATTCGGATTTTGCTAGCTTTGGTGGCACAGTATGGTTTGGAGTTAGATCAGTTGGATGTGAAGACGGCATTTCTTCATGGTGATCTTGATGAAGAAATATATATGACTCAGCCATTGGGATTCCGAGCTGTAGGAAAAGATAAGTTGGTTTGCAGGTTGAAGAAATCGCTATACTGTTTGAAGCAGTCTCCTCGACAGTAGTATAGGCGATTTGATGGTTTTATGCTTGGTCATTCGTACACTCGGAGCCCGTTTGATCCTTACGTATATTTTTGCAAGTTAAAAGGAGGTGCGTACATTTATTTGTTGCTCTATGTCGATGACATGTTGGTTGCCTCTATTTCCAGGTCGGCTATAGATGAATTGAAAGTTCAGCTATCAAATGAGTTTGAGATGAAAGACTTGGGTGAGGCGAAGAGCATTCTAGGGATGGAGATCGGCAGAGATAAAAAGAAGTGTAGAATTTGTTTGACACAGGTGGCTTATTTGAAGAAGGTTCTACAGTGATTCCATGTTAGCATGGATACGAAGCCAGTTAGTGTACCTTTAGGAGCCCATTTGAAGCTTTCAGCTGGCCTTTCACCGAAGTCAGTTGAAGACCGTGAGTTGATGACGAAGACTCCATATGCCGCGCATTGAAGCTGATATACCGATGTAATACAGGCCGATTATCACACGGTGAGCAAGGGGTTCCGAGATACCATGCAACAATCCAGGTAGTCATACTGTTGAGATCTTTCCGTAAATGGATTGTGAGGTACATTCGAGTACCCAATGTTTGTTGTTTATGACGGACACACAGTGGGGAGTTTGTGCATTGATATGTGATTCGATTATGCCGGATTTGATAATCGCCGTCATACTACGGAATATGTGTTACTGACCCCGCTGCGCCGGTGTTTGGAGATCACCTACAGTCTACGTGCTTGTCCTACACTAGGCAATAATATACATTACGAGGCTGTGAGGAGGCTATTTTGCTTGAGACTTTTGGAGGAACTTGTATACGCAGAGATCCTCACTATCATTGTGATATGCATAGTTTATCTATTGGCGAAGAACAGGTTTTCATCAACGAAAGCATATTTGACTTCGTTATCACCTACGTTCGCAATTTCTTGTAAAGTGGATTAAATGTGACGTCCACACAAAAGGAAACGTCAATATGCCACTAAGGTTCCGAGCAACAATTTGATCATTGTCGAAACTTGTTGCACATTCGGATTTAGCGTTGATCGCATTTGATGAAACTACGGCCGCTTGATCCCTTGGGAGAAGAGGTACGTAGGCAACCACATTGGTGCAGCCGAGTTTAGAGAAACGACACATTGGTGCTCATGTTGGTGTCGGCTCAGTGTTGGGAACACTTCGCCGAGGTGGAGAATTGTTGGATAGGATTCCTAATCTATTTTGGTAGCGTGAGGTTATTAGGATTCCTGAGGTTATTAGGATTCCTAATTTATTTTGGTAATAGGTTATTAGGATTCCTAATTTGATTTGGCTTTTGGTTTAGAATTCCTAGTATGTTTATGATTTTAGGATTTCTATATATATGGAACAATTGAAGGAGAAAAAAAAAGAGAATTAGCATTGTTTTGAGCACTTTGAGTGGGAGATATTGTGAGGGAGTTGAGAGCTTTGGTTAGGGTTATATTTGAGTGATTTTGTGAGTTATAACCCGTTGTATTTCTCCTACATATAGTGAAATCTCCCCATCCTCTCCCTGTGGACGTAGGCAATTGCCGAACCACGTAAATCCTTGTGTTTGGTTTAATTTGTGTCGTATTTTGGTGAATTACACTCGTAATTTAATTTGGTTTTCTTCTCTCATCGCTCACCGACTCGTTTGGTTGTCGAGCACGCTTCCGCACGGCGCGCAACACGGACCACACGGCGTGATCGCTGGAACAAATGGACCAGCCCAAACAAATTCTTGGGCTGATACCTGATCACTCACTTAACCAACCACAACGAACAACCATATGACAAATGGGGCTCTGGCCTTTTTCTTCGGTGCATAACGATTCAAAACATGCAAATCAAACTATTCACGGATTAACACAAAATATTCTGAAGCACCAACAGATCCAAAACATGCAAATCAAACTATTCACGAATTAACACAAAATATTCTGAAGCACCAACAGAACACGATATTTTAGGTGGAATCTTACGCCTCGTTTGGTACGCGGGAATGGACAGACTTGGGAATGGAATGGAAGAATGAATGGAATGGATTGCATGTGGGAATGGAATGATCATTCTCATTCTCTTGTTTGGGTGCGTTCGTAGAATGAAGCTAGAATGAAAATCTCATTCCCATTCCCATGTTTGGTATCATTAGTACACAAGTAAGAATGAAATCTCATTTTCTAATAATGCCCTTACAATAACATAGATTTTTAATAAGATAAAAAATAAATATTAATGATAATAACTAAATAATTTTATATACGCATATGTTATATTAATCTAGGTATGTGTTATACTAATGCTCGTGTTATCCATCAGGTGTATGTTTCGTTTATATTTTTTAAACAATACTCGCTATTTCTTAGTCTTAAAAATTAAAGAAAAAAAAAGATTACCGTATCTTTCATAGGTCCAAAAAAAAAAAGAATGATATCCACAATCCACAGTTCTAGATATATAAATTAACTTATTTGATAAAGTATCAAAATCACTCAATTCATAATAGCAAAAATCCATAAAACAATACCAACTAAAATAATAAGTTTCGAAATAGCAAAATGATATACTAGCCTAAATTGTCAATCTAAAATTGCTCACTTGCATAGCGCCTCACCCAAACATTCTTTATTATTAATATTGATATAATTGAAAAATACCTAACTAGTTTTTGATTCTCACTTGAATGGGAATGACCATTCCTTATCTTCTCACTTGGAATGCTCATTCCCACAAATAGTGGGAATGATCATTCCTAGGGAATGGTCATTCCAACATCTAAAATATTGGTGTGTTTGGTATGAGGGAATGGGAAGTGGGAATTACATTCCATTCCTCCTCATTCACGCGTACCAAACGAGGCGTTACATCCACAAACAGAAGTTCCTCCACAAGGTCCCATCAAGTTATTCAGGTACATGTCACCAATATAACATATAGTTGTCTAATTTAGGGGGTACAATGTCCTCATGATATTTCATCCCATATTCAAGTTTATAACCGATATACAACGTAGAACTTCATACGAAGCAGATTCCAGCAAATCACAACAGATAATATGAGGTGTTGAGAAGAGATGCACAGTTTTTACTAAAATTGTGACCTCGTAGGCATTCTAGCTTCATCACATCAGAGGGATCAATGAAAAGATTCACCTGCGAAAACGAGGAAAGAGCAATTACGACATCAGGAAAAAACAGTATTTTCAATATAGATACAAATAAAAAGGATTGTTGGAAAACATGTACGATTCTGCTGTTATCAACACAGTAATTTCTCCAATTTGATGCAGATGAAGTCACCAGAAATCTTACTTCTAGTTCTAGGACGCAATGCTTATTGAAGATATTATATGATACTTGTAGATAATATCATTAGAGATTCAGTTAGATATTAGATACTATATTTAGAGACTTAGATACTTTCCATCTCTTGTAACCTCACTATATGTACACATATGTATATTGATTTACATAATACATAGAAATTAATTATTCTCCAAAGCAATATGGTACCAGAAACTTGAAACCCTAGCCACCAAGAAACCCTAGCAGCCATCAGTCCTCTTTTTCTTTTCCGGCCACCTTCAACCAGTTTTTCCGGCCATCTTCAACCAGTTTTTCGGGCCATTGATTTTCAGGTTTATTGTGCATCGGTCGTCGTCGCTGAGCACCCTCGTGTTGCCTTCCCCTTTGCTCCGTATTTCAGGTTTCTTGGCCACCATGTCTCGATCATCAGCTACCTTCCCCACCGGTGTGTTAACCAACCCACACCGCCTGTTGTTCAAAATGCCCGTCACTACCTCTCCATCAAACTCAACCCCTACAACTATCTGTGTTGGAAAACGCAGATCTCTCCTTTCTTGTGTAGCCAATCCCTAATGGGATACATTGACGGATCTGTTCCACCACCACCCACCCATCTTACTTCCGCCAACCAATCCACCCCACAAATCAACGCCGAGTTTCTATCTCGGTAGCAACAAAAACAACTTGTTGTCTCTATTCTCCTTTCTACTCTCTCTGAGGAGGCTTTTCCACTCATCGTCAGCCTTAGGACGTCCTATGAGATCTGGACTTCCTTGGCGTGTGCCTATGCATCTCCTTCGAATACAAGATTCCTTCAACTACATGAAGCCCTTCATGAACTCAAAACAACAGGATCTCTCATCACTGCCTACCTCTACCTTCCCAAAAACATCTCTGATTCGCTTGCTTGCCGCCGCTGGACGTCCGATCTCCACTGCGCACTTAAACGTATATATTTTTAAGGGTCTCCATCCTGAGTTCCGAGATCTCACTAGGACCCTCAATACTCGTCCCGAAGCCGTTTCCTTTGAAGATTTGCACGCCCTTCTCCAAAGTCATGACTACATTCATGGCCGTCCTATTGTGGAGGTTCTCTCTCCTATGGCACATCTCACCGGCGCACTGTTCCAGCGCCAGGTCGCCGGCATGCTGCCCACAGGTTGCTTCTCAGCCGACTTGCAGTCTCTTCTGTGGCCAGTAGCGTGTTTGCACCTGGACTGGCCAGGGCTGCGGTAGGGACTGGCCGCTGACTGGCAAAGGTTGGCCACCAACTGGGCAGGGGGCTAGCCTGCCTGCGGTTCCCTCCTCTTGTCCTACAACCGGTCTGGTCCTCCCTGCTTTGGGCCAGATTGCTTCCGCAGGTTATGGCCTGTCGTCCTACGACCAGGCTGCTATTGGGGCCGCTGCTTATGGTCTAATACTTGGCCCAAGCACCTATGCCAGTCATGGTTTACCTCCCCAACAGTTCTATGGGTACAAAAATCAGTCCAACGGGTACAACAACCAAGGTCATGGCCGTGGACGTAGCCATGGTCGAGGCTGTGGGCAGTTCAACACTCGATGCCAAATCTGCAATGGTTCTAATCACACTGCCCTTACCTGCTATCAGCGTGGTGTTCTCGCCGGCTCTCCTTCTGCTCACATCACCAATGTGCCAGCTCTGTATGTAGCATCCCCTACTTGGTTTCCAGATACCGGCGCAAATCACCATTCACTCCGGATTTTGGCCGTTTGGACGAATCTGTCCTACCTTGGCTCCAACAGCCTTCATATTGGTAATGGTAAAGGTCTCACTATCTCTCATGTTGGTTCATCCACCTTACACACACCTACTACATCATTTCATCTTTACAATATTTTGTATGCCCCAACCATTTCCAAATCTTTATTATCCCTCCAACAACTTACTAAAGATAACAATGTGTTTTTTGAGTTTCACCCGCCTTTTTTTGCTGTGAAGAATCAGGTCACCCATCAAACCCTACTTATCGGACCCAGTGAAAATGGCCTTTACACTCTCCGCAACCAAGTCGCTATTCATTCCCCCTCTGTTGCTCATCTAGCTGAACAGACCTCAACTGATATCTAGCACCAACATCTCAGTCACCCGCATAGCCAGCTAGTTACAACTATAATAGAGACATTGTCTTCCTTGTCCTTCTTTGAAGTTTACTTCCCTATGTACTGCTTGTTAACTTGGCAAATCTTCTAGGCTGTCTTTGTCAATTTTCAATAATAAATGCAACTCTTGTTCTTGAACTTATTTTTAGTGATGTTTGGGGTCCTCCTTCTACTATGTCTTCTAATGGTCATCGGTATTTTGTTTTGTTTGTTGATGCATATTCCAAGTACATGTGGATTTTCCCAATTTCTCAAAAATATGAGGTGTTCACTAACTTTCCTAAGTTTTTGGCGAAGGTTGAATGTCAATTCAACACGAAACTCAAATCTATTCAAACTAATTGGGGAGGGAAATTTCGCAAATTACTTCTTATTTTTCAATCTTGGGGATTGTTCATCGTGTCTCTTGTCCTCAACACTCACGAACAAAATTGTGTTGTTGAACGTCGCAACCGTCATATGTCGTTGAAACTGACCGTTCTTTATTAGCTCATTCTTCTGTCCCTCAAAAATATTGGCATTATGCCTTTGAAAGTGTTGTCTGCCTCATTAATCGCCTGCCATCTAAAGTCTCCTCAAATCAATCCTCATTTCAGTCTCTTTCCATTTTCCCCATATATCTATTTTTAAAGGTCTTTGGGTGCCTTTGTTTTCCATATATTAGTCCCTACAACTCCCATAAGATGGATTTTCCTCCTTGCGTGTTTCTAGGTTATAAACATACACATCACGACTATCGGTGCCTCGACCTACATACATGACACCTTTATATCGCGAGGCATGTTCGGTTTGATGAGCTTCAGTTCCCGTTCCGTAACATGAACAACTCCTCTCTCGGTCCCAACACCTCGCTCGAACCCCCCTTCTACCTTTACCCATCATGTTTATACTCCTCCATCAAACTCAACTTTGCCCGCTTACTCTCTCCAACTTGGTCATGTCGTTCATCCTCCTCCCTGCACCATCCCCTTCTAGTCTTCCTGTTCTCTGTGTACCCTTTTAGCTACTCCTTCCCCCTCTCCTCCGGCTTCCCCCTCCTTACAGTCTACCCCTAGTGTCACCCCACCACCACCTCACCACACACATACTATGCACCCGCACCCTAACCCGAAACCTAGAGTATTGTTTTTCTCCTTCCGCATCCACATGCACTACTACCATGCCCATACCACTTCTTGAACCAACATGCTTTACCATTACTAGCAAGGATGCTAAGTGGCGCACAGCTATGGCTGATGAGTTCAATGCCCTTCTTCGGAATAGCACTTGGTCTCTCATTCCGGCATCTGCCACCATGAATGTGGTTAGGTGCAAGAGGGTCTTCAAGATCAAAAGATGGGCGAACGGGTCGATTGAGGGATATAAGACTCGTCTGGTTGCTAAGGGATTCCTCCAATAACCGGGTGTGGACTATGAGGAGACTTTTAGTCCAGTCGTCAAGCCCACGACGATCGCTATCATTGCCTTGACCGTGTCTCATGGATGGTCTATTCGCCAGCTTGATGTTCACAACGCCTTTATCCACGACAATCTCATAGAGACCATCTATATGTCCCAACCACCTAGTTTCGCCGATCCATCGCTCTCGAGTCATGTCTGCCTCCTTCATCGGTCTCTATATGGCCTCAAACAGGCCCCCCGAGCTCGGCTTCATCGGCTTTCTCGAGCACTTGTTAGTAATGGATTTACAGGGTCCAAAACTGACTCTTCCCATTGTTTCTACTCAAATGGCGAGATTCAGTATTTGTTCTTGTCTATGTGGATGATATTATTGTAATAGGTAATAATTTGGCGCTTATATCTCGCCTCATCACCACATTGTCGACACATTGTCGACCGCCATTAAGGATTGGAGTCCTCTACATTATTTCCTCGGCATTGATGTGGTCCCTCCCTCGGGTCTCCTCTCTCAGCAGACATATTTCTGAGCTCCTTCAAAAAGCAGGCCTCTCTGACGCCAAACCACTCACCACTCCCCTCTCTACATCCACAGTCTCACCAAACTCTCTAGTACTCTACTCCCTGACCCGAGTACCGGCAGATTGTGGGCGCCCTTCAGTATATCACTCTGACTCAATCTGATATGTTCTTTGTAGTCAATAAGGACTGTCAGTTTATGCATCAGCCGACGGAGAACCACTGGATAGCGATCAAACGCATCCTCCATTACTTGAAAGGGACAATCGGTCACGGGACTCACAGCCTATCATTCCGACGTGGACCCACTGATCATCTCCAAGCCTTCTGTGATTTTGATTGGCCTGGATGTCCTGATGATTGCAAGTCGACAAGGGGTTTTGCGATCTTTCGTGGTACGAATCTCATCTCGTGGATGTTCCGCAAGCAATACACCGTTTTTGCTCTTCCCACCGAACCCGAGTACAAGGCACTTGCAGACACATCGGCCGAACTGACCTGGCTTCAGCCACTCTTCTCAGAAATCTGTATCTCTCCATTCCCCTCTCATGCTTTGATGTGACAATTTGGCGGCCACCTACATGTCTGTGAATCGGGTTTTTCACGCACGGACAAAGCATGTTGAGATCGACTTTCACATCGGCCGAACTGACCTGGCTTCATCCACTCTTCTCAGAAATCTGTATCTCTCCATTCCCCTCTCATGCTTTGATGTGACAATTTGGCGGCCACCTACATGTCTGTGAATCGGGTTTTTCACGCACGGACAAAGCATGTTGAGATCGACTTTCACTTCGTCTGTGACAAGGTTGCTCGTCGCGACCTTTAGGTGCAATTCATTAGCACGCAGGATCAGCTCGAGGATATCATGACCAAGCCGTTAACCCGGGCCCGTTTCGAGTTCATGCAACCCAAGCTGCAAGTCGTTTCACACCCTTTGCTTGTGGGGGCGTATTGAAGATAATTATATGATACTTGTAGATAATATCGTTAGAGACTTAGTTAGATATAAGATACTATATTTAGAGATTTAGATAGATACTTTCCATCTCTTGTAACCTCACTATATATACACATATGTATATTGATTTACATAATACATAGAAACTAATTATTCTCCAAAACAATAATGTTAAACTCCCATTGCAAAGCCATAATTACCACACTTTTTATGGTATCAGGAATCAAGTAACGAATATTCAGGAAGGTTTTGAAGTTGAAAGACAAGTGCTTTGTTTTCTGAACATTCCCATCTTTCATAGTCTTGAATGACATAAATGTTTAAAATGAGCAATTGCAACAACTTAAATTAAGATCAATGGCCATCTAAAGCAGCGGAAATGTTGAAATTGAGTCAAAGTAACTATTGACAATGGCTCTTGTACGTGGAAATGTTGAAATTGAGTCAAAGTAAGTATTGACAATGGCTCTTGTATTTTTCTTCTTATCAAAGTAAGTATTGACAATGGCTCTTGTATTTTTCTTCTTATCATAGAAGAAACTAGCATGAAAATCTACTATGGTAAGTGACTGTAGGAATCACCTTTTCATTCTTTCCAATATGCACTTATCCAAAACAAGTTACCTTCGGATTTCCCAAGGTTTTCAAGTAAGAGAACTGAGAAGGAAATTCAAAGTTAAGATTCTCCTAGGAACTATTCAATTTCTAGTCTCATTCATTTGTCTCATTCATTTGTCATGTTGTCATACTAACTAAATAATTGTTATCTAACTTGTATTGACATGAAAAGGAATGTCATCATAGAGAACAGATGATGAAATTTTATTTATTAGGTAACAAGCACAAAGAAGAGCATCTACCCATAAATATTTAGGAACATTCATCTGCAACATCAAGGCATGACTATTATATACAAAGCCATGATGATGTGATTACTAGATACAAAGCCGGATTGGTTATACAATGGATACACAGTCACACTGTGTTGATTTCTTTGAGACTTCTTGCTAGTTTTATGCCTAAATTCGATATGCACTCTTCTCTATCGCTGTCGAGGAGTGACCAATCTTCCAACTTGATGTCAAAAATGCATTCTAATGTGACTTGACTGACGAGGTATACATGGAGCAACCACCTGGATTTGTTGCTCTTGGGGAGAATGTAATAAGCAAACTAAGAAAGACTATATGGCCTTGAGCAAAGTCCTCATGCACCATTTGACAATGTTCAAATGCTTGATGTTTTTGGAGTTCATCAGTGTTATTCAGATGATCCTATGTTTATTCGATGTTGTTACACAGGGATAATTATCGTGGCAGTGTATGTGGATGAAATATTGTATCTGAACACAGCGTGAAAGGTATAGAGAACACGAAAGAGCATAGCAGGCATCGTGTAACCAAGAACATGAGAACACCAAGACATATCCTTTGGATTGAAATTGCTCACAGCCTATGTTGCATGGGTACAGGTTCGGGTACGGATGCCGGAACAGGTATGGGTGTGCGGCACCACAAATTTGTAAAAGGTAGCGTACAGGTACACTATATAAATATTTATGTACACATATATTATTTATTGAAATTAATATCTATATGAGAATTAGAAGTCCTACAATAGTTTTATGTTTCTTTTATTATGTGGATTATAAATTGGAAAATTGCTAGTTTTTAAATTAGACATCCAAAAGACACTTCAAAATCACAATTCGAAACCTGACCTATGTCCAACGAGTTTCAAGAAGTGGGTGTGAAGTGTAAGATGTATGTCCAAAAAATGCACAAGTATATTAAATAAAACATGTATTATATAATTGAATACATGCTCACATAAATGCATGCATTTATGCAAGGACTAAGGAGTGTCCAAGGTGTTTGGGTACAGGTACAAATACGAGTCAGCTGCAAGCAAGGCTTCAGATTAGAAGTACCCAGGTAACATAACTCACAGGCAAGCATGGAGTGCTTATTTCTTAAAGAACATATGCCTTAGACCTATTGTGAGAGATTGGCAGTGAGAAAAGATGGTAGGATGTTTGAGGATACTAAAAGATACGTAAGGCAGACTGGGTTCATTTACCTTAATGTAACCAGACAAGGTACTTCTTTGTTATAGGCTAGTGAGTTCATTCACGCATAAGCCAAAGGAAATGCATTTGTTAGCCTATGTCAAGAATGCAATGGGAAAAGAGTTATTATTCAGGAAAAAGAACATATAGGCATGGAAGCCTACTCAGATGCAGGCTATGCAGGAGATAAAGCAGATATAAATTCGAAATTTCAATATTGCACTTATTTGCATGGTAATATAGTCACTTGGAGAAGTAAGAAGAACGTAGCATCACGATCTAGTGCAGAAGCAGAACCCATAGCCATGGAAGCCACAAATTCTAAGATAATGTGGATTAAAAAAAGACAGTGCTTGGGTTCATGCATATAGCTTCGTACACCATGTACATCAATATTAGAGCAACTTTCAGGTATCTTTACCAAACCTCTTTCATCTACCTTTTATTAGTTAGCTACATGAAGGGAGTGTCAGATGTTATTAGTTATTGTTAGCTATTGATTATTTGGATATATGGATTCTTTATCCATCCACACCACTTATGTATCGACTCTCCTAATCGCAGTTAGGGGAGATTAGCGTTTGGTAATACAACCATTTGTCTCTTCCTGTCTACAACTATATTTGAAAATACCCTAGCAAAGAGCTCTCGCAGTTCAGTGTCGGTGCAAGCAGCTAATCCCAGAGTCCAAGCACACTCCAAATGCACCCACATGTGCAGATGAATCCAAATACAGAACTAATTTAGGATGGGATAAGCTCAAGGGGTGATAATTTGATAGTGATGCTAGCAACCTAATTACTAGTAAGTAAACAACTATTTCTATTTTCTAGTAGATGTATCATATGTCAGTAATGAAAGATGAGAATGACATATTTCCGTAACAAAAAAGCCCATGCTTGATTAGGTCTAAAAATTTTGATATCCCTGACAAATTTAGTTATCTCCAAGTGGATCACATATGACAAGAACCAGATTAGAATTCCAAATATGACTTAGGGCTGGAGGTAAGAACTTTTTCCTAGGAACATATAAACCATTGGTAGAGTAACATAGGAGAATAAATAAAGATGAACATCAGTTTACCTTAGGTCCATAGCGTCTTACAAACCATTCAGAGGTCTTCGAATTGGAAGCTTCAAACATGATCTTCTCAAGTCCCAAACGGCCTACAATCTTTGCAATTATGTCCGTACGGAGAGAATCAGCATACTTGCATACATCATCAGCATCGATCATGATCATGTCTGCCCCAGCTTCCAAGCATCGCTCAGCCCTTCTGATCAGCAAGTTCACATCTTCTATAAACTCTGCAAAGCATTAAAAGGAAAGAATGCAATCACAGTTTATCAGCACGATAAATATTTCAAATCTATTATGGCTCAAAATAGAAAATTATAACCTTCAAATCTATTATGGTTCAAAATAATTGCAAACAAATATCTGACCTATATTTGCATCCTACAAATGTGCATAAGGATACTGATGTTGGATGCTTTTCACGAGCAATCAGCCGTACCAGTTGCATTTTAATTTCAAATATATTATGGTTCAAAATAGAAAATTATAACCTTCAAATCTATTATGGTTCAAAATAATTGCAAACAAATATCTGACCTATATTTGCATCCTACAAATGTGCATAACGATACTGATGTTGGATGCTTTTCACGAGGAATCAGCCGTACCAGTTGCATTTTAATTTGAATAGCTGAAAACTTTCATACAATACAGCTGCCTCCTATATGTAAAAGTTCACACTGATGCAAGGGGTAATATATGTGCACGATCATATTGGTGTGTGTATGCTTTTCACAAGCAATCAGCAGTATCAATTGCCTTTTATAAAGCTGAGTCCTATACATAAAAGCATCACACTGATGCCAATGGTGATGATACATGTGCATAATGTGATTGGTGTGTGGATACTTTCATGGGAAATCAGCCGTATCAGTTGCGTTTTAATTGTAGTTGAAACCTTCATACAATAAAGCTGAGTCCTATATGTAGCATCAGACTGATACAAATAGTGATATATGGTGTTTTTTATATTAATTAGCAATCATGAGGTCTAAGAGCGTGTAGCACATCAAGAAATTCGACATTCCAAATGATCAGGAAGTACATATAGTTACTAGCTCAAAAAGATTGACGAAAAATTCCTAGTGCAAAAGAAATGGAATAAGTCATAAGATTTTTTAAAGCACATTTTCCTATTAAAAAATCCAAAAGGCCAGTTAAGTGAGAAGTTAAGAAGTCTTTGTATGCCAGACTGTGCTCATAACCATGCAAATTATCTTTTTCAAAGTCAGCTAAATTTAACACCCTTCATGCATAAGTTATGGGTCAAAGCTTGCACAGAGATCTCTCTCAGAAAACAGATATTGCATATTTCTCATAAGTAACAACAAGAGAAATCTTATGACCCCAGAAACATACAGAACATCATGACAAGGACACCAGCAAACAGAAAACAGAAAACAGGTATCAGGACCTCCCTTCTATAAGTACATACTAACAAGAGCAAGAAACTGAAATTAGGTAAAAGAAGTAGTAGGCTGTATATGACTAAGTTTTGAACATTACAGCTAGAAATACACATTTACCCAAAAATTGATAAAATATCTAGTTCACTTTAGAGATAAAAGAACATCCTACTCTATCTCTTTCCTCTTTCCCAATAATCAGCTATTTCTAGTTTTGAGTCTGCTCCAATATCATTTCCCTATTGATGAATAATTATTCATATCACCTACATAAAACTGTACAAATATGAAAGACAGGGACCTGAGCGAGAAGAGGGAAAGGCTTAATTTATTACCTGAATTTTGTTGGACTGGAGCTATATAAGCCCCAAATGCTCTATCACCGGAAACGGGCATATCAGCTGTATCAAACTTTACCGCAAACTGAGGCCTCACCTTTAGGCCACCACTCTTTATGAGGCGAATCAACCTTAGCAGGGTCTCCTCAGGGACTTTAAGCGATCCAGCGTTTAGCTCAACGGTATCGAAACCTAGTTGTTTACAGTCCTGTGAAAATCTCAAACATATAAGACACCTCCCACCTGTCTAAATAGAGAAGGATTGATTGATTTAGCAACACTCAACTGACCTCAACATACTTATTGAAAGAAGAAGGCCCTTGGCGAAGTATATGCTCTTCCCAGTCACCAGTACTAACACATACATCATGCTGGTGAGCCAAATCAATTACCTCTTTGATGAAAGCCTTCGGCATCAAACTGTGCGAGCCGCCAGAGAACTTCAACCCGTCGACGAACTGTCCCATCGATTCGAAAATATCCTGCACCCAATGGTGATAAAAATGTGTCACTATATCCATTATTAAGGTCAATTAAAGATTTCCGAATCAGCTGGCAGGCACAAAAGTTTCAAAACCCAATCCCTGATCAGGTCCCTAGCCATATATACTTCTCAAAACTGAAATATCCTTTTCCAGTAATAAATGAAACTATGAAGTTCAGATAAATCACAGTGAATACACCATCGACAGGCAAATTAGGGACACGGGCAAAAAAGTCATTTCCAGCCATGATCAACGCCATCAGCTGAAAACTAGAGAAATTGATAGCTTTTGGTAATTAGATCGGGACCTGGAGGGTATTTTGGGAAAAGAGGCTGTAGCTAGGGCTCCGCATCTCGGTGACGCCGAACCTCCGAGGCTTCTCTGGCCGATCCTCGTCGTCGTTGAAGCTCTTCCACCCGTAGTAGCAGTAGCTGTACATCGACGACGATGAAGCCATTCTCTCTCCTCTCTCTCTTTTCTCCCTCTAGAATCTCCGCCTCCCTTCGATTTCTCTCTCTAGAGTCTCTCCTTCGATGGGAAATGGTGGAAGGTCTGAGTTTATTCTGGAATAGTCCAGTGACACCGGTCCCTGTTTTGTTAGATTTTGGGAGACTGAAATACCACTTTTAGCCTAGAAAATCACACCGACTGACTAATAAAATCTAAAAAGTTACATCTTTTAGGGGTGTTTGGTTCCTTGAAAGACTCTCTTGAAAGCCTGACAAAAGTGTCAAAATTATCACTTTTGGCAGACTTTCAGCCAAAATCGTCTTTAAAAAAGAAGATTTTGACTGAAAGTCTGTCAAAAAGTGATACTTTTGGCAAGCTTTCAAGAAGGCATTTCCCTCAAAAACAATGAACCAAACAGGTAGCTCAAGGAACATTTTGCAACTCGTTGCGTTTTTGCTGTTTCTGTTTTATTTACAAAAATAATAATAATACGCGTTTGGCATCCGGGGCGTTTTTTGACTTGGACCTTTACAAAGCCCAAAAAATAAACACTTTTCTCAAAACACAAAAAATGTGTTTTGAGATTTCGTTTTTTCATCTAAGCCACCGTCGCCGTCAGGTCCGCCGCCCGTCGGCCCGTCGTCCGCCGCTCGCCCGCCGCCATCGTTCGCCAGGCGCCACCGGACCGTCATCCGCCCGCAAGCAGCCGACCACCGATTCCGCCGTCGTCGCTCCGGCCCACGCCCGCCACCCCGCACGGTCGTCGCCGCCCCAGATTACCGCGCCGACGGTCGTCATCCCGCCTGCCACCCATCGGCGCGGTCAAGCCGCCCGCCGCGCCCGCAGCCGTCGCTATATAAATAATAATTATAAATTGTGTTTTCAAAACATGTTTGAAAAAAAACACCATGGCGTGGTGTTTTTCTACAAAAACACTACAATAAAATCACTTTGATTACCAAACAATTTTATGGTGTGTTTGGGAGATAACTAAGCTTTCTTTCCTTTCCCTTCTTTACCCTCAATTTGAAGGGTAAAATTTAGTTCAGTTTTCCTCCTCATTTCTCCTTTTCTATCATTCTAAATGGAACTCCCAAACAAATGTAAACTAAAAATTTCCTTCCCCTTTCCTTCTCTACCCTCCATCCAAACAGACCATTAATTTGTACAGGAAATTTATGGATTTTTACATATATATCTCTCATATCTCGAGCACTTATAGATTTATCCTCCGAATTAAAATATTTATATAAAAATTCAATTCTCTCCTTCTTCTCAATCTCCCTCTCCTCACTCCCCTCACTTTCCTCTTTTACTTTTCTCCTTCTTTCCTCCACTCTCTTCTTTACCTTTAGTTAGCATTCGAAGGGCAAGAAGAAAGGAGAGGAAAGTAGAGGAGCAGGCTAAGATGAGAGAATAGAATGAGGCTAAGGAAAGGAACTTGAGCTGAGAAGGAGGGTGATGAGGGGGTGAAGGTGAGGATTTTAGGAAGGAGGAAAGGGGAGAGAGAGTAAGAAAATGGGAGAATAAGAGGATGAAGCATATGGTGGAGGGGAAGGGGGGGGGGCAGAAAGGTGGGGGGGAGATAATTTTGGGAAGAGAAATGGGAGATGAATGATTTTGGTGAGGAAAGCAGAGAGGGTGTGAGAGAGGGGAGAAGAGGAGGATGAAGGGGAGAAGAGGATGAAGGCAATTAATTATATTGTATATTTGATATTTTTTAGATCACAAAGTTTAATTATACTTTTATTATTTAAAAGATATTATTTGTATAAAAGTCAAAGAGAATCTCATACGTATTTTAGATCTTAATGCCAATTGTAATACTTACATATCAGTGTTGGTAAAAAAAATCATGCATGAGCTTAACTTATATGATCCTACTTTAACCGGATAGATAATTTATTTTTTCCACCCAAACTCTTCCACAAAGCCAAAAGAAAATAGTGATGTTATATCTATATATATCCACATGACTACATATATCTTGAAAATGAATGAAGAAAACCATACAAAAAAACCATATTAATTACCCCACACACTCACTGTTTTCAAAACCACACTTCTTCATCTCCATCTATAATATATCCACATACCCAAATTAACTTGTTGGAGTTTCCCCCTCACCAACTACATCACTGATCAATCCTCCTTTTTTTTCCTTTGTACTTAAATTATATAACATTCATTGTGATGAGGACTCACATGGGTCCTTTGCCTGCCTTGAACGTCTAATAAAAAATAATGTACTAGGCCTCATAGTTAGTTAATAATGAGATCCTATTATTATAAACAAATTAAGTAAAGATTAATAATACGTAAAAATATACTGCATTCTCCTAGCTTTCACTGCAAACTTGTTAGTTGTTTATTCCTGACCCCAAGAGATTTTCAAAATTAATCTTGAGGATTCTTTGCATTAAAAAAATTATGTTAGAGGGCTCTTACAGTCTGTTTTATAGTTCAAATTATCAACATATTTTATCTCTGATAATATCAATTATGAGTAATAATATAACTTGATTGATCAAGTATATCCTAATATATTCCTAGACTCTTGTCTTGTCTTTTGCTCTTTATTATATATCAACTTGATATCACAAATGATATAGTAGATGAAGACACTATTGTAGAATTACCCAAGAAAAATATAAAGTGGAGAATGATTGATTTCGGCTTAATTAAATATAAAAAATGAACAATTGATAATAATTTTTGAATATTTTATAGTAGAACTTAAATTTTTTAGTAAAATTAGGAATCTTCAGAAAGGATTTTGATGCAAACATTTTAATATGCTTATGTGAATGATTTTGTCATATAAAATTATACTAGAGTCACCAGTAATAAAGAGTGTTTGAATGATAAATGCTATAGAATCACCAATGACTCAGTACCAAAGTTAACTAATATAACTTTTTTATGACATGAACATATCATTACTGGATTTACACCTTTTAGTGACAGACATTTTTGTCGCTAAAGGTCTAAATTCCGTCCCTATAACTTTTAGCGACGGAAAAAACAAATTTCGTCGCTAAAAACTATCCCTACATTGAGGGTCCCTAATTGCATCTTTAGCGACGGAATTTTCGTCGCTAATTTTCAGCGACGAGATATTAGCGACGGTTTTTTCGTCGTCATATTTTGTAAAAAAAAATTAAAAAAAGTATTAGCGGCGGAAATTCCGTCGCTAATATAGCTTTTAGCGACGTAAATTCCTTCGCTAAAGGTTGTATTTATTATTAAAATTCTTTTTTCGTATCCGTTTTCCGTTGCTAAATATATAAAAATCCGTCGCTAAAAATGTTATTAGGGACGGAATATCCGTCGCTAAAAGTTGTTTTTATTATTTTTATTATTCCTCGTGTCCGTTTTCCGTTGCTAAATATGTATTTAGCGACGGAAAATCTGTCGCTAATAACCACTATTTTTAAAAAAAAATATTTTGAAAATTAAAAAAACCCTGTACAATATCGATAATAATTTTAAAAACCATGTTCAATCAGCAGTATAATATTCAATCACACGCATATATCACACATATATTTCAATAAAAACAAATAAAAGTTTCCCGACATGTACATAATAAATATTGTTTATACAACACAAGAATTTTTTTTTCAAAGTTAAATTACTTACAATCAATCCTCCTGATCATCATCATCATCCTCAACACCAGCTGCATTATGACTACCCCCGGCTGCACCTTGTGAAGAAGTCCCAACCTACAAATATAAATCAAATGTTAACAAGGTTGTGTAACCGTTAATAAGAGTGTGTAAATATAAATATAATTCCCCCAACACCACAACACAACACCAAAACACCATAACACAACAACACAACATAACAAACACAACACCACATTATAACACAACACTACACAACACAACACCACAACAACAACACAAATCCCCCAACCCCACCCACCAACCAACCACACTCCCCCTCAACCACCACCACAACCAAATCCCCACTCCCCCTCCTCAATCACGACCAAAGCCCCCACCCACCCACCAACCAACCAACCACACTCCACACACACATAACTAAGTAAGAATTATATATTTAATTCATTTAATTAAAAAAAGTAAAGTATATATATTATCTGATCCGACATAAACCGTCTCCTATATGCCTCCTGAGCCTCCCGAGGCAGAGTCGACATGAATTGTGTGAACTCTAATTCTCTCTGCTCCCGGCGCCTCCGTTCTTCCTCCTCAATCCGCCGATATGTTGTTTGCTGCGACTGCCAATCTTCAATCGCTTTCAACCGCTGCTCCATCGAGTCTTGATATGAATTGCTTCCTGATGTTCCTGGTTGTGCTATAGACTCGTAGGTGCTACTAGACTCGTGCGGCCTCTGCTTGGATCCTCTCCACCGGTATTTGTTCTTCCTACTCGGTCCAATGACCGTCTCGATGATGGAGTCCTCCTATTCTCTACTTAGCCAGACATGAGTGTTAGAACCGACCTGAGACTGAGACATTTGCTCCTGTACCTTGGCATGTAATTTCTCCTGTGATATATCAAAACAACCCAGGCAAGTCGACTTACTAATGATGCATTGTTATGAAATTGAATATATAAATGAACTGTTACTTACAACCAGATCCTTATTATTTGCTTTTTTCTCTTCATTGGCGTAATTCGGGCTCCAAGAAGTCAAAATACGATCTGCAAAATGCCCGAGATCTCCCCTTCCCTATTTTATTCAAATATATCATTAACTCATAACACATAAATTATACTCAACTTGACAACTTAAAAGCTAATATATTATATACCTCAAGCTCCAATTGATGAAATGCTGGTTGAAGGACCTGGAGCCTCCGTGATGCTCGTAACTGCAGGGCGCTTTGCGGTTCCTCCTTGTTATTTCAGCTTGAGCCTGCAAAACAATGTCAAATCAAAACAATATAGAAATTCAAACTCTTAATTAAAAATATATACTTCGATAATACCTGAATTTCAGCCGTGTCCCGGTAATCGCAAAGTACAAAAAAATCTATTCCATCCACACGCTCGTCAAGATGCCAGAATCGCTCCCAATCTTCTGTTATTTAAACAAAATATCTTTTCTTCACCTTAAACCGTCATCTCTTGAACGATAAATTGATTTGCGTGAAGCAGTAAGTCCAGGCAAAAATATTATCGT